CGATTGATGAGAAATACTGCAGGGACAAGCGGTTGACTTGGATAAGAAGGCATTTCACGAAAAAAGCTCTTCAGATTGCAAATATCGAAAATAGTTGCTGGCAGCTGTGAATAAAAGTGCAAAATTAAATGTGCATGGAACCTCCCGGAAATTTGAAGCAATTTAAAAAAAACGTTATATTTACTAAATATTCTTTTTGGCAGCAAGTTTCTAACTTTGGCATTTGTATGACATTTCCCACATTAGAAATGCACTAGTTCATGTTGTCCTGAAATGAACACAGTTCATCCTATCTGACACTTTAAACTAGTTCGCATCACCAATATTCATAATTAGGGTCCATTGCCTTATTAATGTTAGACAGTATCAAATATTTAGACAGACAGAAATTTTTATGTTTGAAATATTAGATGCTCTGCATAATTTTATACCCGAATGACACCACTTGCAACTAAGTAAAGTGGTATATTTTTAGTTAGGATATTCCGACCTCTAAAACAACACAAACCCGTGATTCCACATAATGTAATGTAAAATATTCCAAATATTAGACCTCTTGCACGAATCACTAAATCAAATTTGATCTATTTGCCTTAAATAAAAGCACGCTAACCATATTATTTTTAAAACCATTAATTTAACCTAGAGCATCACTGAAACTTTTTTGGCATTAAAATTTGTATTGTTGTGCTGTTTATAAAGCCATCAGCCGCAAAACTTGGAAATAGTATACCAAGCAAATAATCTTAACAATGATTTAAAAACCAGATTCAATTTAGTGATTCAAAAAATTTCTTAGAATGAAATCCATATATTATTGAAACTTACTTTTGCATTCACTTTGAGATAGTTATGCAGCGTAAGCAAATTTTGACCAATTATTCCCTGATTTACCGACATAAGAGACTACTTTTCCCTAGTTATTTCAGATTTCATTTGGTTAATTAATGCTTAAAAAAATTTGCTTCCAAACTTTTGTTGGACACAGGTTCACTAAATTTCATTTAAAATAAATATTTTCATACTGGGGGATCTGAATGTTCTAAATGTGTTTGCGAATATAACATTATTAGAAATCCGTCTTCGAAAATTTACAAAGTTACAGCAGATGTGCTGAAGCCAATTATATCAATACTTATGGTTGTCATAAAAAATTTTTGTTATTTTTATTGAATTTGTATGAGATGTTTTCCAATGCATTACCGCCATCAATACTCTGAATTCTACGTTATTTAACAGTGACAAATATAATCCTTCTAGCGTTCCTTAAGATATGTTGCTATATTAATTAGTTATTGTTTTTAATTTTCATGTTTTTCTTAGTGCTTCCAGTTGTTTATTGTCACTAGTATTGTGTACAAGGTCGCCTCATTTTCTTTAATTTTTGGATGACTTCTGACAAGTCCTTATTCGAGGTAGTACAAACACTATATATGTAAAAGTCTGTTCTGCGATAAATTAAATGTTTTTAAACAAATTTACCTAATTAAATTTGCCAATCCTCAATGTCTCAGTTTTACCATTCAGTAAATTTAACCGTTGAATATTTAATTCACTAGTTTTACGCGTCTTTAGACTTGCGAGACTACACATTTTATATTTTTGTTTATCGTTAACGTGAAAATGTTGTAGTAATTGCATCAAGCTGCCAAAATATTTGCACATGACTTTTAATCCTTGTCAACGCATGAATAGTAGTTTTGTTCTTCTCAATGCATTTTTCTCTTTTTTGAGTCAATGCGCCTTAGTCAGACCGATTTCAAGTATACATTGCCTAGCTTTTTGTACGATTGTCTATTTTGATATTTTTTAGCTAGAAGAACTTCTCAAATCATGTAAAAGGGATTTGGATGAAAAAGGTCGCGTCTTATCCAATTTATCTCAGTAAGGCCTTTTAATTGCAGTATAGTTGTCTTTAAGTAGCTCATTTAGAAATGTCGAAATAGGCGAGAATCCCTCACTTTGTGGCGATGACGCATCCAATGCCCAAGAAAGGTATAGAAACTGCCCTAACGTAAAACATTATTTTGATTTTACAGGCCAAATCAAGACTATAAAACACTAACACTTCAGAAGAGGTTGAGTAGCATCATCAGGGAAAAATCTGAACTTCTTGAAGAAGTCAAAACCCTTCGAAGAGTAGATTTATGTCGATTGAAAGAAATAGACGAATTGAGAAAAAATGTTGCGTCTTTGGAAGCAATGAAATGCACCACACAACAAAAAGCTCTGCAAGATTTTGATAACTTTCAGGATTCTTTTTGTCAGAGTGCCGAACAACACGGATTTGTTGAGTATGGAGAAATGCTGAATCTTTGTCCATTATTTTTTACTTACGATCAATTCATACTTTAGACAGCTCAAATCCGATAAGGAATCAGCTGTTAAAATTGCATCAGAAATGGAGGAAAAGTTTAAATGCCTTGTTGAGTGGATGCAAGTAATAGCTTATTCCACAAAGTCGGTTTCTTTTGGGCAAGATGAATATGAATTTTCTGATGAAGCGGTCCAAAGACTAAAAACAAAGGTACGTCTTAGAGTTAATATCTTTCCACTATATAAGGCTAAAAAGAACACAATTATGGGATATTTTTAGGATTTTTCCCTATTTTTATAGTTTATTATGTAATGTGATAGTAAATTGTTGTAAATGTGATAGTAAATTGCATGCGTATTTCTGGATTCTACTGAAGACCAACTGCAAATGATCATCGTTTAACCTTTGTAACCTTCCAAGATTGCTGAAGTTATTACTCGTTCGCGCGAAGAAACTTCGAAAATGGAGGACATCCAAGGGCTTCTTGCTACAAAAGATCGCCAAATATTTTATCTCAAGAAAATGATTTCTAGGCTCGTGCAAGGCCTGAGGCGCTCTAATGAGGCTGAACAGGACACAAGTAAGGAATCTGAGGTTAGTTTTTGATGTGCATTGTATTAAGGTGGCGTTATTTGTGGTCTTTTGTCCCGAGTTTTTAACTTTTGTAGTCTTCATCTTATAATTTCTCATCATGCTTAAGAACGTAATCAAATATTCTTAGATATCTTGAGTTCATTCATTTCGTTTGCAAGTAATTAAGTTTCATAAACGTATACTCTTCTGCAAGTGCCTCCCTTAATATTCCTCCAAGCATTAAAATGTTGCCATGGCAACTTGCTTTGTATTGTTATTGTTGTTGGGAGGTGCAATTTTCGTTGTTACTGGTCTACAGAAAGCACTAAGTCACTCTTATCACCGGATACCTGAGCTGCACATTTTCTTTCAGAATTCGGAGGCGCAAAAAAGGTTACACTACTTGGAATCTCAACTAGAAGAAGCGAGGATGCAGCTGGCTCAATTTGAAAAAGGTTCTTCGCACCCCACGTTGGAGTCGTCAGCATTACACGAAAGCTTTAGGTTAGTGTGGCCTAGTTTTTCATTAAAAAATCTTTCAGCTTCATTAATTTCTGCCTTATTTCACTCTGCCTTAATCTTATAAATGCGACTAACGATCGCGTTGTAATCTACCATTTAATAAGGTACAAATATAATTTATCCGTATAATGCACATGGTAATTCCCTGTTAACCGAAATTGCTCCCCCTACTGAAATAAGCTTTTTGTGGCTAGTGTATAGAGCTCAAAGTAATTTTCTGCAGAAATTTGGTAACTTTTGTTGCACTTGCATTCATTGGGCCTAAAGCAGGAACAATTTCGGTATCTTTTAAGGATGCGATCGTTTCGGTGATTTTATATCTGGAGAAGAGAACTATCTGCATCTTATATTGGTCCCTTATATGCATTTTATAATTTTGCCAAAAAAAAATAATTTCCTCTATAGTGAACAATTTTCCAGTTTATAGCTAATGGTTTCAATTATGCAAAATTTTGAATCATCGCCTGTAGTAGCAAAATAACTCCAAAAATGGTCTCTTTATTTTATTTTAGGCAGTCACTGGCTGATTTATTGAACAGGTCGGGATGGATTTGCGTCGATTCGGAAGAAGGAATACTTGGTGTTGTTAGCCGAGTGTTGATAACTCTTAGCAGCAAGACAGAAGTTTGTGAATTGTCCACTCTATTATTGATTCTAAGTTATCGTTAAATTTCGATGTTTTTATTTTTTTTGCAGTATGGCAATGTTGAAAAGTGGTTAAGTCTTAACAATAGTTGGTATAATGCTCTAAGTTGATATTTTAAATAAGTTTGTTGGGAATTTCATTAGGAAAACCACATTTGAGTGGTACCTTCACGAACCTAGAATTTGTGCATAAAGTGCTGTCTCCATGCACAGATACAAATGCGATAAGTCTACCTTTCCTAATCTGATTGCCGATTGAAAATAGGCATGTTCAAGTCTTCAATCACGCTTGACTGAAATGAAGGCGAAACTATCCGATTTTGAGCGCAAAATCGCTGATGATGATTACAGAATCGAACATCTTGAGGACGAAAACTCGAAATTGTGTGCACAATTGAGTCGAAGTTCTCACAAATCAGTCGAGTTCTCACCTTGTACCGTGGATCTTGAAGGCTGTAATGCGAAGGTTTGTTGAAGTTACCGTATTTCTTTTGTGCTCTAAATGAACTCAATGTACTCTTTGTTATTTAAAATGCAGCTGATTCAGTTTCTACATGAACTGCAAGATCAGCTTTCTATCGATCCAGTGTTATTTTCCCAAATGGGCATCACCGATCAGCGGGAACTTGTGTTAGGTGAGCCTTAAGAACATTTTTTCACTGGTGGAGGATCTTTACAACACTTTCGGCCTTGCCTAAATATTTATTCTTTAAATTAAAAGAGGTCGGTAAGGTTATTTGATCATTGAATATCTAATTAAAACAGTAAATGTCAACGTCAGATAGTGATTTTTGCGGTAGTTGTTACCTGTTCCGATGTGAAATCAAGTGTTTTTTAATGGATTAGTTCCATTAAAAAAATTGAATATTCAAATTATAAAGGCATATTACAGCTTCACAGCGATGTGAAGGCATGTTAGCCTTTGATTGAAGAATCCTTCATTGATGCAAACAGAATCTTAAATACAGCCTGTGTGAAGGCAAATTGTTTACAAAAAAAATAAGTTTAGGTTAAACTTGAAGAGCCATGCTATCAAAAACAACAATTTTTTTAACTGATTTAGTGTGGAAATGGAAATTTTAAGGTTTTTTCTTTTCCACCCTATTTTGGTAACATAAACATCATGTTCTTCACGTCTCATAAACACAGGTACCAACTATATTTCAGTAGCATCTTTTCAATTTGCAGAAAATATATCTAAATTAACTGCCCCTTCGCCTGCAAAATCAGACTGCGACCTTGCTCCCAGGTTGCATAAGCGTATTCAGAGACTTCAGGACGAGCTGATGAGCCGTGACTTACAGTTGAAGTCGCATAACCAGAAGGTTGCCAAGCTGGAGGAACAACTGGCGGCTGCTAGAAAGGGCGAGACGGAAGCCAATGAGAAGCAAGCCTTTGCCGAACAACGCATTGCCCGATATCGCAAGACGGAAGCTGAAGCCACTAAGTTAAAGAAGGAAATCTCGCAGCTAAAGACACAAGTGAAGGAAAACAGTGAATTCCAAGTGAGGATATATGAATTAATGCACTTGTTAGTATACTGATGGTCACCTTGAAGTGTTGCGTAAAATTTTTAAAACTGGTTTGATCAGCTGTTGTAATTTTTGAGCAAAAGTTTTTAAATTCGTTACTTAACTGATGAAATCCACTTAAAGCAATATTAAACAGTAAAACTGATTTTTTCATTTAAATTTGAGAGATCGTGATACTGATTGGATACACCCGTGTGTTGGACACTTGATAGGAGAGTGTACACAGATCGTTGAATGCATAATGTATGATTCGCATGATCAAGTTCAGACCATCGCACATCTGAAATATGTCCCATATTTCCGGTCATTATGTGCATGTACACATACGCTAAACGATTGTAAAGAGAGTGACTGCTTGCTGGTGATGCACTTGGTGCAGACGATAAATAGCTTAATTATTTACCTAAAGAACTCGTGTCCTCGTTTGTAAGTATTCACAAGTCAAATCTATTCCCAAATTCACTGATTGGCAGTGTAGCACATTGTGCCTCTGAAGGGTACCTCTAACGTGGTAGCCAAGACAAAGCCTTCGGATTTTGAAAGGTGGGAAGAAAAAATCCTACCAATTACTCAATCTCGACTTTCCGATCAAATGAGTTGTCTCTTTCTGCAGTGGCAAGGTAAAGTTCACGTTCAGAAAAAATAGTATTTAAACTAGGTTTGTGTAGCGTATTAACTCTTCAACGTCTAATCTGGTAAATAAAGCGGATATTTATCCGCTGTATATACGACAACTACTGCACATCTCAAAAGTCACTTGGGAACGCCTACTTTATTTATTCGAATAATTCTTTTTGCCAATGGTTGACCTCTTACAACAAGCCACGACTATATATTGCCTTCATGCTCCTACGATTAAACATTTGTCCCTGGAACTTAAGGCCGGGATTTACATCTTGGAACAGAAATCCGTATAAGTCAGCGTTTAGAGAATTTTTAATCAGTACTGAAGTTTTTGAACTTGCCACAACATTGCGGTGATAGTGAATTAACCAAAACCAATCTTAATTTGGTGTTGCAAGTTATCATTGATTTCCTTTCACTAATGTTTAAACAATATAGGTCCAATGACAACCTGTCAGAACATGTATTGTTCTATTGGACTAAAAGTACTGTTACAAGCTCTCCTTTTGCTGTTGTAGATGCATCTCGAGGAGAAACTTGAGCGGATAGTTGAATTGGAGGGTACTGTGAAAAATCTTGAGGAAATCCGCCACAGACAAGCCAGCAAGATTGGGGAACTCATTGCGGCCCGTGACGCGGAACAAGCGGCAACTTCGCGCAAGTTACTTCAACAGGAGGAAAGTCAACGCATTCGATTCACCAATGAATTACATGAAACCAACCAATTGCTGGAACAACTTAGTAAGGAGGCACATGAGGTAATTTCTTACAGAAATGTCAGTTTTGCATTACTGAAAATGGATTAAGTATATACCAGAACACAAGTCAATTAACTTCAGTTTATGTGACATTGGATCTGCCATCTGTTTATGATAGTCACGACCATTGAGATCGCTATATTCTGTCTGGTCACACTTCACCTCAGATTAGATAAATTTTCTGATTATTAACAGTTGGTCCATTATCCTTTCCTATTTCTCTCGAGCCCACTTTGTTGTTGCTCTTCGTGGAAAGCCATTATGATGAGCTTACGTTTTTCTCTATTCATCATGCTTAAGCTGTGCATTAATGTTGACCATTTCACCCCAATTGTAAGGCGATCTTGCGGTTCTCGATATGATGAAAATTACATTGTTTGAGGTTAAATTTGAGTGTTACTTAATCATTTAAGTACCTTTCCAGCGTTTTCGACTGTTTTCTGACATGGTCTATGTCGTGAAAAAAATTACTGTACTAGCAATATACTGAAATTGCGTTGGTAATGCTTGAAATCATATAGTACAGCGAAGAGAGAAAAAGAGTGGTTGGGTAAGAGAAAAGTGCTTTTCAAGCATTCTTCTACACCCAGGCGAACTTTAAGTGTCAGCGATATGTACTTTCCTCTTACAAAAGCCTTATTAAGCATGGTATTTAGGAATCTATGGGCCCCGAATTCCTAGATTTTACCTTGTCAACTTGCGCATCCAAGCATAAGAAGTGAAGATTTATTGGGGCTTTCCAAGTTACAATGCTAGCAATTCACTTCTAGGTGTTTTTTAATTAACGGTGATTAATAGTTTTAAAAAAACGTGAAAAAGGAAACCAAGGAAGTTGATTTGAATGACATAGGAAAGTTGCAAAGATTAAAGTCGTGGTTTTTGCTGCAATTGATTTCGTTCCTGTGCTTACTTGCTGATTTAAAAACATCTTTAGGTAAAAAACTTCATGAAGTTTGTGGGATCTTGAGCGAATTATTCCTTTATTTATCTTATTGAATACCGTATTTCAGTTAAGTGGGCTGCAAAACCTCATCAACCTCGTTTAAGTATTCGTCATTGTTTGTCAGAAGTCTTTGCATAGTTACACTTGAAATTATGCTATTCTGGAGCCTTTTAGTTCAATTCCGCATTTGTTTTGCTCTTAGTAAGAAAATAACTCAATGACTTGATGCATTCTTGGGAGGTTGGAGACGTCACAAAGAAAACCTAATTGTTCTATGTCTTCGCTCGATTACCGTCGGGCATTTGGGGGCGAAACGTAACAGTCCCACTCACCTTCGAAAGCTCTTTAGAGTAGTTTATGTGCTGTCATTGCTGATGTAGACAGCTCTGCTACAGCACAGTTTTTCTATTGAATTTAAAACTTCCAAACCCCTGCGAATGGTCTTATTTGGGGATTATAATCGGCCAGCTGCCTGGTACAGAAAATTTACTAGCGTTAGAGGTTGGCATTTTCAGTGTTCCTTTATCTTCCTTTATATCTGCAATCGTCCTTTTTCTCTCATTTCAACCTGGCTATGAGTTGGCCTTCGGAAGATGCTCCAATTGGGCTAATCTTGTGACTTAATACAGGGTATTTTCAAAAATGTCATCCTTTTCTTGCGTCAAAATTGGTGAAACCAGGTCAGAGCAATGGGGATTTGAAATAAAGTGAAAACGCTATGCACAAATTTTTTTCCCATATCGTAAGCAATACACAAAATTCAAGGCAGGGGATATCCGTAGAACTTTAATGTTTTTTTAAAAAGTTAAATTTGCTGAAAGAAAGTTTATTACCGTGGAGCGAAGTTACATTCTTATTGCTAATAGTGGCTTCCAAGTTAATTAATTGTTGTGGGATTGTACAATTAAAATTTTGATCTAATTGTTTGTAACGTGGGCTTCAGGTTCGACTGCATCCGGTCACGCCTTGCATTTCCAAAATTCTTTACTTTAACAAACTGAGGGCATCTGTTTAGGTCAACGTGTTTCCGTACACATATCATTCATCGTAGTCCTTATTCCATGTCCTTTGCGCTTAATACTCTGGCGGGACTTCTTGAGAGCTAGAAATTCTTTTGATCGAAATATTGCAGATTCCAGATTCTTAGAAAGATTTGCATACTGTTTGAGACCCTTAATCAGGTAGGTAGACCTGCAAGCCATAAAATTAGCCCCGTCAGATCTGTAGTACTGCGACTCTGTCTATTTTTTCCTGATCAACAGCTGACATGCGTGCTCGATGCCCAATGTGGTGCGAAAAAACGACTACAAAAACAAACCAACTGTTCCATTTCGTGAAAGGAATGTATGGTCACCTGGAGATCGGAGAAATGGGGTCGGTTACGGCGAATTTATGTAGTCAAACGCCAATGCAGGCTGAAGGTTGTTAGCCAGGGGACAAGTGAAAACATTCCACACTGCTGTGTTGCAATATGCTTCTACCATATCTACATACTCCCAGGAGGGCTCCTGCTTCTGTGGTCTATTTCATTTTGGTGTACTCTGCACTGTTGATATTTATACTCAAATCCGTACCCACACTTTTGTATGTACGCACTTGCTTGGCCACATAATGGCCATCAAACCGAACCAATCAGCACACTTTCCTGGGGATTGTTAAGACCTCCTGGCATTTGGAACAATTAGTAAGGTTGCATGCTGCTTTCTTTTGGCACCACACAAGGTGCCCGATTAAGATGATGGTTGTTGTTATAAAAGAAAGTACACACACTGCTATGGTGCCGCTTGCAATGGCAAAATCCGAAACACACAGTCATTAGCCCCTTGCAAATGAGCCGCGGCACCAACCGTACTGCCGATCCAAATTTATTTGTGTCTCTTCCATTAGAAATATCCTACTTCATGTCAATCTTTAGCACATAAACGGTATTGAAGAATTATAACCACTGGAGGTTGGTATTAATTAGCCCGCTTTTGTGCTATCTGTGGAATCAAACAACTGTGTTGCTGATCGGTAACAGCCTATTAGATCTTAAGGAAAGCTTTTGACACAGAAGCTAAAGTACTATCTTTGGAGGACTGGACCATCATGATTAAAAAAGGTACTCTTCCAACATTTTTAACACCTCAACACCTGCTGACCATAACTGCCTGCTCAATTTAGTATCTCGTAACTTCTTCTTCTGAAAGTTCGCTTTCGAATTAGAGCAGATAAATCCGTGCAACAGACGCTTCACCTTCTTGAGATGACGGTGTTTAGAATGACTCGCCCCTAGAGGTAGCATAAAGCGCCTTTATTTCAGTCGTACTTGAACTGTTCCAAGGCAGATTGTCAAACACTGTGAGGCGTTTGATAGTACTCATTTCCTCAAATGGGTGCACTTTTCTGTTTTAGCTTCGCAACTTTCGCAGCGTAGTGGGACGTTTGCTTGGAATGCGCGTTGACCAACTGGCCGCACCGAATAAGGAGATAATTCATGGGGTTGAGCGGCTGCTCAAGGAGGCAGGCGGCAACTGTCAGAGCCGCAGCACCGCATTCAGTGCCCGAAGTGTCTCGCCGAGGAAGGCTCTGCACAGCTCCAGTGCACGCATTGGCTTCACTCATGGTAAACTCGGAAACATTCCTTTCTTCACATAGAAGTTATATCTTTAACTCGGTCAGTGTTTCGAAGCCCAGGACACAGATGCGAAACCCCAGGTGTAGTTGACCCGCCCCTTTTTGTTGGCACGTGATAAGTCTCCCACACCAGTGTCCAGACAAAACACGTATGAGTCAGCACCTCCCCACGCTCATGCAAGACGAGACCGCGCAGGGAGCGCGCACTGTCTCTGCCCAAGGCCGAGCATGCGTTCACTTTTATATGGTGTGGACGACCTTGAGTGTGACTAAGAGAAAATGGTACACTCAAAGGCGCATGGACCAGTAGGAAAAAGGAGGGGGAAATGATTAGGAAAGTCTGTGTGTATCAACCGCAGTTGATAGTGGAAGTAGAAAATTGTAAATATCTCAGAATAACTAGCCTTGGGGATGCTGAATCCTTAAAAGTCATGGCGTATTAAGTTAAAGTACAATTTTACCGTTTTCTAGTTCGGGACACACAAACTTTAATACTACACACACACTTAACGCCCAAAGCAAAATTTTGGATGTTGCCGCTGTTTATTTTCAGAAATCAAGATTTTGTAAAAATTTAATGGAATCAAGTACAGGACAATTCTTAGTCCCGCATATAACAGCAGTTTCTGTGCGGTAACTCGGCCATTATCTCATTAATGCTGCATCATGAACAAACTCTTAATTCTTCATAATTGGTCTTGCAGAAATTTGCCAGATGGTGCTCATTTGTGTTTTCGTTTTTTTTGCTGAGAAATTCGACAGCTAAAATCTTTCTCTTTGGAAATAGCATTTGACCGTAAATGTACTATTTGTGGATAACTTTGTTTGTATGTTCACAACTGAGTTCAACAATTTGGCTGTTCCGATTTTGTAATTCATTTTATCAAGATGATTTAAACCAAGCTGAGCTTGGAAATGGAAAGAGACATGCTGCACCTGCTGTAGCATCAAATCGCCTGCGAAATTTGGTCCATAATAGGCATCCGCACTAGGCAGTTAATGTTTTTTATGTATTTTACATGGGGACCTCATGTCATGAATACTATTGCTCCCGCAGAGATTTACAAAATATTCTGAAACAAACTTTGACCCAAATCTGCGACACTTGTTGACTGCATGCTTTAGTAGACGAATTGGTGTCAAACCGGATGCTTTCTAACGAGGCCGTGTATGTGATTATTTTTGTGGATAATTATTATTTCCTCTCAAGACTGTGGGTCGGCACGTTACGAAGAAAGTAAAATACATTTCATTGTCAGTGTTAAGCACTGCGATGCGGAAACAACATTGCTTTTTGTAAAGCCGAATGAATTTCCACTGTTCTATTTTCATCTTCACTGTCGTACAAAAACTATTCTGGTGCAAATATCGGCGTTCATTTTGCTACGTGGTTTTTATCCACCGTCTGCTTTTACCTCAAGATATCAGTAAGATAACAAGGCGTGATTTGTCGCTGTGATCAGCACGTTAAAAGCCTTCTAGATGACACATACGGTCGGCTTTGCCATTCAGTTTTTGGAAAATAAGTTTAGGGTCATCTAGTGACTGCAATTTGACTTCGCTCCGA